TGGGCAATCCTACTTCCGTAGTGATACTGCCTCGGAAACCCAAGGAGGGGTCGCTATGAGTCGGGGCCGACTCGACGGCACATAACAAACAAACTCATCACCTGACAGCCCTCCACTTACCACCCTATAAACAAGATGGAACTGAGTCTCCTTTTAAAACCCACTCTTCTAAGCTACATTACAGAAGCTAGGAAGGGGTGAGTTATCTTCCTTTTAAAAGAAAACCTAAGTGTACCAAAGTCACATAGAACAAAAAGTATGTTTTCTATATAGATCATTTGTTTCCATACATAGCTGCTGTTCTAAGATATCAACCCAGTGCTGAGGACATGTCTTCTCTCTATTCCACAAAGTACATACCTTTCAGTCATGTAAAAATGGTGTGTGGATGGTGTCTGACCTCTTCTAACTTCAAATGGAGAAGAGGATCAAGACCAAGAATGATTACTATGAGGCAGAGGTCAGACATGCTACCTCCAACCCTTTTCACTAATTCTGACACTATTTGTCCCTCCTACAGCACTCTACTTTCAACTGTGTTTGATAATTCGTTGAATGGCCACATGGAACTCACAGATAATATTCATGATTATGGGGTTTAATTAAGGAAGTAACAGGTTACAATTCAGATCAGAAAGGATTTAGAATAGTTCTTCAATCAGGACAGCCTTTTCTCAGCAGTGCTTGTAGCCCCACCTCTCTGACCCTTGTCCTGGCCTCTGCCCTGCTCAGGCAAACTCTTTTAGCTCTGCCAGTTAAGTGCTCAGAGGCAGCCTACTTTGTAAGAAAGACTTGGCCCAAAATCACTTGGTTCTAGTTCTGTGGGTTGGCAAACCTAGCTCCTTCAAGTGCTCAGAGGCACCCCTCTCTACTAGTAAGACTCCTGCCCAAAGACACTCAGCTTTCTCACTCTGTGGGCTGAGAAGCCCACCACACGGTCTTGTGCCGGTCTCCTGGTTCTGCTACCACTGTTTCTCTGCCACTGCTTCTTGCCATCTCATGTATCTTTGGTGTTAGAGCTCTGTCTCCTGGGTCTATTAGGTTCTCAGCACAGGGACTCCAGGTCTAACTGACATGCTCCACTCCTGGCTCTTCGTGGTGGTAGTCAGGTCCCCTTTTCTGCCTCTGGGATTGCAAAACTGACCAATGCCCACAGTAGGGTTCCATAAACCTTATTTGAATAGTCCCATCCCACAAGGGTGCCATGCACCTCATTTACATTATGAGAAATCTATCCAATGCCCTTGGTGGGCCATAGCATCTCACATTTGCCATAGTCCCACCCAGTCATCTGGTGGGAGTCAAAAAGACCATGGCTAGAAGGGCCATACCAAGTAATCCACTGTACTCCAAGTGTCATCTGTGCTGTCTCCCTTCTTTGCATCCAGCTGTCAGAATGGTTCCAGGTACCTCATTAACCAGCTAAGTGACCATTGCACATTTACCCAGGCCCGGTTCAGGCCTGAACCTGTGCAAGTGTTGCTCAGCATTAAGTAAGGAAGGGACCAAAATGGTCTGTGGAGCTGAGAAGCTAGGCTTCAGTCTGAGGCTACTGCTCACAAGGTTTATAGCAAATATTTCCTTGAGAACAAGGGCCCTGACCTAGGATACCAAACAAGGGTGACTTAAATACTGTTTTGTTTCTCTCATTTTCTTCCTCATCTTATATATTTAAGGGTTCTTTTCTGCCTCCCCTATAGCTCTTAGCACTGTATCTTAAATGTAACAGACCTTCAGTAAATGCTGTATTTGCAGAAACCCAAGCTATGTCTTCTGGCCAAGACAAGGAGGACTAGGTAGGCAGGACTAGGAAATATAGTCTAACCCTTCATGGTTCATTCACTTACTGCTGTAATTCCTGAAAACAGTGCTCTGTGGCAGGAAAAGTCTTGGCCTTTGTGCTCTGCCCTTGTAAAGCAGTATTGGGTTATTTCATAGTGTTGGGGTTTTTCACACAAGTTTCACAACATGTGCCCAGTAGGAAAGAGAAAGCTCCAGCTATTTTGGGCAGCTCCAATGTTGGGGAATCCACTGCCCAGATCAAAGGGCTCTCTCCATAATCTCAGGGACCCACAGATGACTGCCACCCTCCACAAAAAGAAAGCAGCTGATATCCATATTGTTCTGCAGAGACCCATGTAATAGAAGGGACTTTTATTATTTTTTTAAAGAGAATTCATACAATCATTGATTATACAGAGCCCTTTCTCAGTGCTCTTTTCTTTCCACTTAAGAAATTAGAATACACCATGATGAGGAGGATAATGCTAAAACAAGAGACTGTTGGCTCGTCATCTAGGGTACAAATACAAACTTAATCATTCGACATTTTATTGAATGCAAAGCAAGATGAAGCATCTTTGCATCTGCTGTACACAGATGAAGCAGAAGCCCAGGGAAGGGAAGACTGCACAGCTTTCCTTGGAGGGGAAGATGTAAGCCCCTTTAGTCCCATCTTGTCATGAGAAGATTAACCCATGTTCTGTCTATTGCCATAACCCCTAGGATGGGTGTCCTTCCAGTCATCCCACTCCCGGGTTCTGTGTAGTGTTTTCTCATCATCCTCTTCCTCCTTTTGTTCCTGATCTTCTTGTTGGTGAGCTGGTATTTTGAACTCTGTTAAAGTGGAAAAATGGGAAAGTGGGGGTGAGAAATCAACACTGGTATATTAAGAAGAAAAAATTGGAGGGTGTCTCAGTTCCACTCTGAACACAACTACATAAAATGAGAACAAGGAATTTAGGTGGCTGGCTGTCTACCCTGTGCCCAGCAGAAGTGGGCAGAGTAGTTATATTACTAAGAACATTGCATGCTAAATAATTGTAAGAAAGGATGCTCTCAATGGTTTGCAGGAGAAGGCAAAAACATGCAAAAGCTGTCCCTCAGAATGAATACTATTTTGGGAAAAAATTCTTGCTAAAATGGCCCAAAACAGAACCTCATTAAACTAAAAACATTAAAAAATACTTATGATTTTAAGATTTCTCATATGCTAGGGAGGTAGGATTGCAGGTGACTTTTCATCCTCCATTCATTTCCTTT